ACCCCAAATAAACTTTAAATTGAAGCACTATGATATTTAAAACTAATTAATTGTAATACAAATAATCAAAGGAACAATTTTGTTGAAAGTTTATCAAACATATCATAAATTTCATAATTGATCTAACAGTAAATTAGAGTAACAGATCTATCATTAAGAGGCAGAATTAACGCTAACAAGCACAAACTAATTTGACCAAAAATCTCTTAAAAGACCTACCAACATAAGTTTATTTTGAATAAATCAACTGACAAGACACTCTCTAATAAAACTTGAAACCTGTATAAATCAACTGATGTGATAACCTGCAAATCCCTTCATGATACAACATTTCACCCCACCCTTGTTTGGAAAATTATTAAACTGCGGTGTCCGGATTTGTTTCGGAGCTGAATTCTGCGCCCAATATCATTTTGGACGGTCCAGACAATGCACATAATAATCCTCCTTTTGTTGTTTAGCTTGGTTATCTATAAATTATTATCAAAACAAAAGCCAATATACTGGGTGCATAAAAACACAAGATGTCTACCTATCAATGGGCATAATGCATTCTCATGACCCCAACCATAAAATAAAACACCTGGAAATTACAAATACACTGAGGTATATGATTTACATCAGATACAATTGTGCTAAAGATGCAGAATTATTAAAATAAAACCCATTTTTCTGGTCTAGTCAAAATCATTGCATCAACAATATACTTTGCAAAGTTCAACATAGCTGAAAAGAATTAATAAAATTTTCAATGATCTTACCAATCGATAGAAAAGTACCAAAGAGTTCTAAGAAATTAATCTCAACAGGAATGCCGATTGCCAACGCACATTCAAAAGAATGGATAAAAAAACTTCAAATAACACTGCAACATTTATAATATAGTTTAGCTTTACTGCAGAATATAAGAAGTTGGCAGACTAGTATATTCAAATCAAACTATAAATGTCAGAACGGAAAAATATGAGTTGAAACTATATTGAAAGGATTACTTGCAAAAAAAATACAATATATAAATGCTTGAAATAGATCTAAGAGAATTTATTGTAGCTGCAGGAAAAAACCCATAATGTAACTTTAACTTAGGACATCTGCAACAGAGAACTCCATTTTTCAATGGCAACTACAACAAAACTCTAAATGCCGTGGTGCGCCCAATCAAACCCCATTTATAAGTGGCTCTTCTGCGAAGGTAAGATCCTTCCCATTTTCGCGCATTTTTCCGGTGAGAGAGCAAAATAGCGTAGGTTGAAAGTGCAACACCAATATTGCGCGACGTTCATCCGCAAGGTAAATGATGAAAAGATTTGGCGTTCGGCTGGAGCGACCCGAACGAACGCATACACATCGTTTGGCGTTCGGCTGGAGATGCTCTTAACCTAGATAAACTATTATATGAAAGCGGATCAAAATAAGCATCAATGGTATGATAGGAAATTTCCATAAATTTTCGATAACTCTTGCGAGGATATAACAACAACAGGTCAATCAAACGAGCTAAGATTCTAATATGGATAAACAATTTGGTGTCAAGTTCATAGGGATTAAAAGGGGCTCTTTTCATTCAAACTTTGGAAGGCAAAATAAAGGTGTGATTTTGCCGAACACGCAACATCTAAGTTTTAACAACAAAAAATTAAAACAAAATTGAATAAATAATCCAAGATACTTACTCAGATTTTTATTTATCAATTAATGAGGAGCCAAACAAGCATCAAGCAAACCAATACAATTCCAAGCAACAAACTTAGCTGCTCTTCATAGATTTGTTTTTTAATCTTAATTTCTAAGCTGTCTGATGGTTGGATAGAAGAAAAACGCCATGATAATCGTTCAAGATTTGGAGAAGGAATTTAAATAACACATCGAATATGAAATAATAAAATATAAAATATTCAAAATTTATTGTACAATAATATGAACTTCTGGATCTTAACCTTAAAATCAATAATATAGATCAATTCAAATCTCCTTATTCTGATAAAAACATGATTATAACCCCAAGGCATAGAAGAACAACTGTTCCCATGATGATGAAAGAAAAAAAATAAAAATTGACTAATTCCTATAAAGTGAACCGACTCGACTAAAAATAAAACAAAGTTAGCAGAGACTTTGTCGGGCCAATTCTATATTATTGTGATAATCTTGCCTGAAGACTAAAAGTCCAAAAAATAAAAAGGATAGAACAAGTCATGATAATTGAACTTTTTATCTGGCAAGATAATATCAAACAAAACAGATACACATCATATAGCAACAGGAGCTACCTATTCAATGGGCATCATGCAATCCACATGACCCATCATACAAAAATAAATACAAATAGCAATTACAAACAGCAAACAAGGTAAGATTTCTAAACCAGATATAATGGGGCGTAAAGATGCAAAATGACTTTTGCTGTGGATAAAAGAAAGAAACCATTATTTACAGACAGTGAGGTCAAGAATCCGCCGAGGAGGCTCAAATGATGCGGGAATGCAAAATCAGCCTAAGTTATCCCATAGATAGTAAATCTCCTTGCTTTCCATGTTGTATAGTCACGCTTTCATCCTCAAGGATTTCCAAGGCAATCAAATTAATAATATCAGCAGCAAAGGTGTTCCATCCCCAAAAGTCACTGCTTTAACAGGATCATTTCGTGTATCCTTCCAGCCAGTATAAGCAGTACCATGCTGTTGAACCATATTTTTCTTCCCCTAGTTACATTCAGATTTTAACGGCAGGTTTGGACCCATTATAGTTTTAA